GGGGAGGGGCCTCTGAGCCACAGCTTGACAGCTGCACAGGAGCTGTATCCCAGCCTGTGTGGGTACCAAGCGGCTGGCAGGACACCACTGACACCAAGAAGGTCCTGGGAGGCACAGCTGGCTCCCCCCCAGCTGAAGGGTCTTGTGTGGGGACTGACGGGAAGGGCAGGGTCCCACACAGCCCAGCCTCCCCCAGACAACTGCTGCTGCCATGGGAAGGAGGTGACACAGGGAGACCCTAGAAAAGTGCTTTATTTGAGTACAGAGGGGAATGGCTGCACCATGAGCTGTCCAAGCACTGGGCCAGGCCCCTCTCCTGGCCCCTTCCAGCCCTGTACGAGCTCTCAGTCCCTGCCTGGCCAGCACAGACACCACTCAGTCCTGCCCTCAGCTCCGGGTGGGCACTGCTACTCCGTCACCTCGGGGACAACGCTGACCAGCAGAGTGTCGTAGCCGCGCCGCACCAGCATGGCCAAGCTCTGCTGTGTCCGCACCGCCTCATATACGTCCTCGGCACGCCGCGACGCCTGCCCGTTGATCTCCAGCACCACGTCACCAGCCTTGAGCCCTGCCCTGTCGGCGAAGCAGACACTCAGCTTCATCATCCCTGAAGGACGGGGAGGCAGGCGCAGCAGGAGTCTTGGGCTGCTGCACCAGGCGTTTGTCCAGCCACACAGACACCTCAGCCAACAGGACACTTAGCCTGGGCAAGGGGCAGCAGGTGGTTTCTGCTGCAGGGCCCAAGCCCTGCAGCTCTGGAGCAAAACACTAGGAGCTAATCACATCCCCCTCCCACCCCACCCGGTGCAGTTGCTCCCTCACACACACCCCGAGGCACAGGGCAGCACTTACTGATGGGCTGGGGAGCCGATGATCACCTTGTGGATCAGCACACCATAGGAAACGTCGGGAAAGGTGGGGTCACGCAGCTTCAGCTCTGCCAGGATGCTGCAGAGTGGAAATCAGCATCAGGGATGGAGCTGGAGGCACGGCAGGACTCCCAGCCCACCACAGATGCACAGGCTTGGAGACCAGACACAGAACCTCCTGCCCTGCATGCCTGCAGACTGCTGAGCACAAGGCACCAGCTGCCAGCCCCGAACACCACCATCCTCCTGTCAAAACGAGAGGACAAGAGTCCCAAGGGTGCTGGGGAGAGCTGTAAACCACCGGAACAGCTGCCAGCTGGATTCGAGTGTGGTGATGCATGTCCCCACGTCACACCACCCATCCCCGGGTCAGACCTGCCCCTCCCCTGCTGCAGTTTCACTTCTCTGCCCTGGGCAGGCAGGACACACAACATGCGCTCTGCCCCTCTTCCTGACAGACATGTCATCAGAGCATCACCCAGGTAGGTCTCTCCTTAGGAGACTAGAGACTAAACAATCTCAGTTCCTCCAATTTTCCTGCCAAAACCAAATTTTAGGTTTCCTAACCCAAGCTTAAACTCTGCACCTCTCACAGCTTTGGATTCTCCCCAACTGCTCCTCATCCCTCTGGAATGAAATCCAGAACTGGATGCAGCAGTCCAGCTGGATCTCTCCAGGGTGGAGAACAGCATTCTTCCCTCAAATACTGCATTGGCTCCAATCCCTGCAGCCCCAGACACTCTCACACTCTCTGCCCAGCTCTGCTCCTCATCAGGTCCCTCTTCAGCCAGTCAGGGCTCTCCATGTGGCACACGTCCATGTGCACCTCTACTGTGCATTTCCACAGCCCTGTGCAAGATGCCATCCCTTCCTGATTTCTCACGGTGGAAGTGGGAAGGAGCCTCTCAAGATCATCTCACCCAACCCCCCCTGCTCATGGGGGGCTGCTCTTCCCTGGAGCAATGGCAGTCTGGGCAGGCTGCCCAGGGTCCACTTAGGTTTTGAGTATCTCCAAGGACTCTACAACTCCTGCAGGCAACCTGTGCCAGGCTCTGACCCTGTAAAAATGTGGTTTCTTATGTTCAGATGGAGCTTCACATGTCTCTGTGCCTGTTGCCTCTCGTCATGTCCCTGGGCACCACAGAGAGAACGATGGGGCTGACAGGGTCTGTGCCTGAGCTTGTGCCCAACACGGAGCTTCTCCTTCCTGTGCCAGGGAAAGGTTCCGGCCTTGCAATGAGCATGGCCAGAGCAGTCACCCGACTCCAAGCCTTGCAATCCCTTGTTGGGACACCTTCCCACTGGGCACAAACAAGCCTGGCAGTCAGGTGGTTTCCCTGGACCGGCTGTGCGGAAGCTGGACCTGCTTCCCAGGAGCCATGCCCGAGGCATTTCACGCTGCTTCTTCACAGACCCCGTCCCACGAGCCTGGCCAGGGAAGGAGGAGGCTTGGCTCCCATATCCCTCAGGTTCTGCCGACTACTAACACTGTCTGCTGGGCACCTGTGCATCCCCTGGGCATGGCAGCAGTGCTGGCTGTGCCCCCAACTGCCCTCACCTCGGGGCAGAGAGCACCTGCTTCTCCGTTTGGTACCAGGCAGGAAGCCCAGAGCCCAGGTGGTGCCTGGGGGTGTAGCCCACAAACCCAAACAACCCACGGGAGCCATGAGAGCTTTAGGGGAGCAAAGCACAGCCCAGAAAGGTGTTGGCCCAGCACGGCACACCACCAGCCCTGGCAGTGTGCTGAGCCCCACGAGGCAGCTAAAGGTCCCTTAAAGGTGGCTACAAGAGCCAAGGAACCTGGGCTGGTGCTGTCCTTCAGAAGAACTGCTCCCAGCAGTGACAGTGCAGGTCCTGCTTGCTTCTGACATGGGCACTTCACAGAACCACAGAATTGTTTGGGCTGGAAAAGATCTTTAAGATCAAGTCCAACTGCTCCCCCAGCACTGCCAAGGACACTGCAGCAGGATGCTCTGCCTGGAATGGGGTAAAACAACTTGAACAATGCCCTATTTGCAAAGCTAGCAATGGTAAATTGAGATGGGGGCATCAGGCTGCTTTTGGTGCTGAATAATGCTGAAACCAATCTGACTTGTCAATCCCAAAGTTAAACATCCTGATAGTGAGATGAAGATATGGTAAACCTGGTAAAGTACCCAATAAAGGAGCAAACAAATTACACTACTAATCGTATCTAAAGTTGCTGAGCTGACACAGCTGGCCTGGAGACAGCTGAGTGACAGTCCATCACTTTATACTATAAAAGCCCAGCCCCAAATTTTAATAGTAGGGTCTTGTAACACATCCATTCTTGGACTGTGTGTAGAGATTCCTTCCTGGGGTGGGGATGCCCCTCAAGGTTACTCCTTGAGGCTGAGCAAAAGAGATTTGCCCATGTTCATTGGTCTGGATGAATAACATCAATCTCTACTTAAAATTGTTTTTGTTAGCTTTAATACAATTGCTTTAATAGAATTGTTTCAATATTGCTTTATAGTGCAATATCTTATAATAGTAGTTATAGCTCCTACACTGTGTAGTAAATAATTCTGAGTAAAATTTTGTCTAATCATTCTCATAATTAAACACATTTATATAAATGTACCTGTTTTGCCATCCTTAATTTCTGTAGGACAAAGCTGTACAAAGGTTCAATTACACCTGTATAATCCTTTAGACATAAACCACTGACAAAGTCTGGGGCTGGGGGCAGCTGGATCCAATCCTGTCTGCGACAACCACCACTGACCACGTGTGGACCTCATGTACCACATCCACATAGCTGTTGAATCCCACCAGGGATGTGACTCCCCTTGCCCTGGACAGCCCCTTCCAATGCCTGAAGGCCCTTTCCTGATGTCCAATCTGAACCTCCTCTGGCACAACCTGAGGCTGTTTCCTCTCATCCTGTCCCTTGTTCCCTAGGAGCAGAACCTGACCTCCACCTGGCTGCACCTCCTGTCAGGGACTTGTAGAGAGTAAGAAGGTCCCCCTGAGCCCACACAGCTGCTCTCCCACCTCCGTATCTCCTCCCTCAGCTTTGCAGGCAAATTTGCCATTCCTGGTTCTCTAAGTCCCTGTTCCAGAGCTGTTTCTGCACCAAGCAACCCCCAGCACTGCTGGTAGCTTTCCACTCATTACGTTCTGGGGGGCTCTTCATTGACCTCCTCCCAGTGACAGTCACAGATGGATTTGTCACTCTGGGCATGGTCTCAAGGAGCTTCTACCTGTTCACAGAGTCTGCTACAAGTGTAGAAACTCTCAAGTTTCCAGTTTCCCTCTGATTCAGCCTGGAGTCTAACCGCAACGTGAGCACAAAGAGATTTTGGAGTGAAGGCTTAAGCTGTGGTGAGAACCCTTCCACAAACAGGCACCCTCAGTTAGCTGGGAAGATCCCATCACACCCCTGCCCCAACAGGGCTGGTCTGCTGGCCCCTGACCTCAGGACATGTACCTTGGAGTGAGGGTCAGCATCATCACCCCGATGTACCGGCGCTTCGTCTCTGCATTGCCAAACCAAGAGCCTGTGGAAGGAAAGGACATGGAATGTCACAGCTGGAAAAGAGACAGGCTCAGAGCAGTGCCGGGCTGGGCTCCACAGCCCTCAGGGCAGGCAGTGTGTGCAGAGGCATTCCGAGTCCCCACAACAGCTCAGTACAGTTCCCAGTACCAGCAAGAGTGTTCCAGGTGTTGCACTGTAACTTTGCTTCCTGGTTTGTTCTTTTTTTGACTGAGAACATCCCTCTCCAGTGTCCCAGCAGAACCAGACAGCAGGACTCTGTGTTAAACAGATTCTCACACACAGAGGCACAGAATGAGGCAACATTCCATACGGCCAAATGAACCTGTTCTCTACACTACTACCAAATCCTGCACCTGCACTTCCACCAGTACACACCAGGCTCAGCAGATCCTGAGTTCCAGGTCACCCTCTCCCTGCTGGAACACCAATTAAAGCTCCACTGATTTCCCCTGGGTTGAGATCGACTGAAAAGTAGCAAAGGACCAAAAATAAAATCCTCATCTACACCTGGGGGCCCAGGCACGTGGGACACCTGACCTGCAGCACAGGCAGGCAGCAGCCTCATTGCAGCGTGCCAAGCTGTTGCGGGCAGGGCAGCAGCAGCAGGCTGCTGCACGCAGCAGCTTTCCCCTGGCACAGGGGAGTTTTGTGCAAGATGGGACCCCAAAGACTCCTTCTCCCATTCTCCTTGCCTTTCTGTGGAAGAGAGGCCCTAAGCCCAGCTGTGCCAGACCTCCCCTCTCTCAACCTCCTCCCCCAGCACCCGAGCTGGGAGGCTCTCACTCACTCTTGCGCTCTTCCTCCTTTTGCAGAAACTTCCGCAGGCGGTCGGAGGGGATGGCAAAGGAGATGCCTGATGTCACCTTCATGGTGTTCACCCCGATTACCTCGCCATCCTGCAGGGAAAGGGCACTGTGCTATCCAGCCTGGATCACTCTGGAAAGCAAGGCAACTACTGCGCAAGCCTAGGGTCCCACCTGTGTGCCCACCACCCCTTCCCAGGCTGTTGCTTCTATATCCTGCCCAACCCTGGCAAGGCTGGGCAGGACCCAGGGGTGGAGCCCACACAGCCCCACACAGCCCCTCACTCTGCCTTGCCAGCACCAGCCAGGCCTCACCGGGGTAGGGCTTGGCTCCGCCAGAGTCCCATGGGCTCTGGCTCCCTCAGACACTGCATAGGGCTCCCACGTCAGGCTGATCCTTCCTCCTCCTCCCGCCAGGGAGCCTGCAGTAACCACAGTCCCTCCCTCCTGGCA